CTATTGGGGCAAGTGGTGCTAGCGGACGCATCGGAACGGCACACAAGTGTTTGGGTAGTGGCCGACACCACACGCCTGGCCGCCTTCTTGTCCGCGGTGCTGACCTTTGCAAGGCACCACGTGCTCATTTAAGGCTGAGTTCGACCGAAGGCAGGCCCAGGACCGGTTCGAACATCCGGCACGCTTGTTGGTCGTCAGCGGGGAACCGAACTGGGGGGCGCCAGGTTCGTAGGGGAATGCCGTTAACCACTTGCACCACCGCTCCGACCACACGCACACGCACGGCATGCTTAAAGTCCGCGGTGGACACTCCACGTTCTTACGGCATGGATCCCGTCCCTTCGTCGTGCGTGGCCACGACTCGTGTTCACATCCGTTCAATTGGTGCATCCTCGCCAGATGGTGATCATTTTAGCCACCCTAGAGTGACGATGATTGTGATGACGACGACGACGATGATCATGCCAGAGCAAGACAAATGGGTGCCGAGGTCGTTAAAATGACTTAGAGACTCGGAGCTTACGGGCGGGGATAGAAGCTGCGGTAAAGGGTTTTAATTAGCGGTATAAACGGGCCCCTAATACTGTTCCATCATCGCGTTTACGAGTCGACACTTCTATTACCTGACAGAGCAATACGTCCGGTACAGTACAGGGCGTCGTGATGATGATGTTGATGGCGGTGAGACATTGAGCAATACATTAAACGGGGGGGGAGGAGGGGCAGTACAGAAAATAGGTTGTCGTCTTACCTGTTCCAAAACTGTTGAACGTTATCCTCCCTCGTACGCGTGGGTTTTTAATTATTATTTTATTTAATCCAGGTCGATTCCAACAAGACGTAGCTCATGGAGGGATTTGCCAAAAAATATAAGTGAGTCTTGAGCCTCGGTTGAGCAAATAAATTGTTGTTGTTGTCGACGCAAGTGGTTGTTGTAGTAGTTTTGAATGAATGACTCCCTCCTGCATTGGGAATGTGGAATTTCCACCACAGGCTCAGGATCCGTGAACAGAGGGTGAGCGTTTGATTTGGGTAGACACTGATTTCATCATAATCATCGATTGTCAATAATCATCATCAATTGTCCATCATCGTTATCAACAGGTGTCATCCATCAGCATCATAATTATCAATACTTGCTCATAATCAATAACTGGCAATCGCCATTACAATTTCTTTATAATCAATCACCATCTTTATCAATGAGTGACCATCGTCATTAATATGGCATGCGGCCATTGTTGTCGTCAGTAACAGCAGCATCATTAAACGGCAATCATCAGCTAAACGAACTATACGACCACGTGAGAGAAACCTCGAGATTAAACAAATACAAAGATCTCCCGTATAGCTTTGACAAGCTATTGGATGGAGTGCTGTGAGCGAGCATCTATTTTGGCCGGCATGGCACACGAGGGTGTGTGGGTGGTGTGGGTGGGTCAGCACCACCCCCGGCCCACTTTGTCTCCCCCAGTGCTGATGTTTACACACCGAACTAGGTACTCATTTAAGGCTGAGTTCACGCACACACACAAAGTCAGGAGGACAGGGTTTGTCGCGAATGATGTGCCGGTGTTAAGTGATTCGAGCCGTAATCTGCGATGGGCCTTGGGGGTAATTGATTCCGTGGAGGTGACACATTTGCAGGAGAATGCCTTCCACGCCTGTTCTTCGGGTGCTTGGTGTCCATTAACCGACGTCGTGTGGATGTGCGTGCAAGGGTCTCGTTATGTAAGTGTACGAGGATATGTTTAAAGTCAAGGACAGTGCAACCCGGAGGTTCCAATTTCGATTTCCCGGTGCGGCAATTGGAACAATTGGTAAGTTTTCTTAAATTCCCACCCGCCACCCAGAAATATAAGTGGGTCCACAGACAGTCCGTTGATCGTCGTGTCGCATGTGGTAAGGTAAAGTTTTGGGTGAGTACTTTCACCTCTTCCGAGACGTCTCCAGGGATTCTCTCAAGGCTCCCTCTCGTGATGAAGGGGACTCCTCCTTCGATCATTGTGCGCGAGTTAAGCAATTGCAGGTGCTGCGCCTTTACCGTCACCGCACGCGTGGGAAATACGATGTACACGGTATGCATGTGCCTTGTCGCCGCTATCAGGAGTTGGGGGTGTGGGCTCACTTTAGCTCACTTTGACGAAGGCCGAACATCTCTGGTGGCCACCGTGGGCTGGTGTGGGAGTTGAAACGGGCGCCACGTGGGTTACAACAGTAGCAGTTTAACACGGAGTCGAAGGCTTTCGCGACCAATATTATCCATAATATATGGGGGGGGGGGGGGGGGGGGGTTAAACCCGTCACCACGCGACGCAGCCAATTAATAAGGTTTGTCGCGTAAACAAAACGTGCCAATTACTTACCGGTTCAGCAAAACCCGGCGTGTTGGAGAATAAAAACCCACAAAACTTTTACAATTCGAGTAACTGTGACGTCCCGCCGGTAATTACAACCAGCCTCACAAGGCGACAGGCAGAATTGTCATTCATTTATATTGAACGCGATCAAACCCCCTCCAGCCCTCCCACGTCTATTATGCACAACAAAAGGCGTTTAGAGAGAGAAGAGAGGCCACGGGGAAGCGGTTGCGGGTCCAACGTTGTGCCGGCGTTCGTGGCGGGCTTGCAGCCGGAGGGCAACTTTTAATTTCTCCCCCCAAACAAACTCCACGAAACGCACGTAGGTGGCCCTTGGCATCCTCGCCACTGGTTCGGGAAACACGCGTGCTCTACGGCAGGGGGTCAAACGACAAACATCAGCGACAAACGTCGTCGTCGATGGCGGCGACGTCGATCGAGTCGACGTGGAGAGCAAAAGCATTTGTTGACTGCACGTGCTGGCGTGCTGCTACGCATTGGTTTAAACTGGTATAAAGGCGCAGGCCCTGAAAATGTCTTGCTTATGCCACTGCTGCCGGAAGGACCACCACCACTAGAGAGAGAGATAGCTCTCGAGAAGCTAGAAATCTTCGTGTCTTGGCCTACTCTTCCACACTGTACTGTACAATGTTGGCATTGCGTCTGTTTGTTTGGACGGCGAACTCTTTAAAAGAGTCGGGGGGGGGGATAGGGGGGGGGAAGGTGCACGTTGGTTTCGCGTCTCGGAATGTGTGGGCGACGATGCAGGCGGGATGCGGCTGCTGTTTCCCACGTCACATGGTTATTTGTTTTGGTATAGCAATGGACAGTGATGTTTTACTCTCCTTGGAATCGGCTATGATTTGTGCCTTTGACGTCCCTGTCGGCCCTGTTGCTGCTGCTGCTGCGTCTTGATAATTCACGTGAAATGTCAATTATGCATCAACGCAGTCTGGGTTTTGTTTGTTTGTTTATATCTATAAAGAAAACCTCAAAAATAGGACCCTCCCTGTATTTGTTATGGTCCCGTTCCCTGTGTTCACGCGAAGTTTTAATATAGAGCGCAGTTTTCACATGCACTGTCAACAGTAAGTTTACAGATTCTGCGTTTTATAGGTGGAGATCCTGTTCACAGTCGCTGCTGGCGAACTCGGATCAGTAAACTGTTCAGGGTTATGAGTTGTGACGAACACGCCAATGTACAGCGTAGCCCAGATGTCATGGGACCCCCATTTAATTACTACAATTTAATTTGTTTATTTTAAAAGTGTCGTTTATTTAAAACAGAAATGAACATGCAAAGGAATGTAAAATGTTAGGGGTCAATTAATTGGAGGTCACAAGACATCTGTATCACGCAGGAGATAGCGCGCGTGAGACTGCATGCACGTGTGGAGCGAGCGTGTTACAAGGCGGTGGTGTCTCAGACACAGAATAGCCGAGCAGGGTTATGAATAAATAAATAAACTACAATACTAGTTTTATTTTATTTAACCAGGTAAGGCCCACTGAGCTATATAGATCTTTTTCAGAAGCGACCTGGCCACAAATGATAGCTCAACGAAGTGGCTTATCATGTGGAAATGTATAGCAGCCAAATGCTCTAAACGCACATTTCTGAAAATGGAGGGGAAAAAACCGGAGGACTCGGAAAAAAATCCACGCGACCACGGGGAAAGAGGACATGAAAACTCCAAATATACAGCAGGCGTCAGGGTCGTGATCGAACCCACGATATTCCTGTATACCAGGCGAGGCAGTTAACATATCCTAGCCACCGTGGCGCCCGTAACAATGTGGAGTGGAGTGTGCGTGTTTCCTAACACACGTACACAAAAAATACTTGAACAAAATCAAATATATTGGCCCAACATCCCAAAGGAAATCTTCCTGGAAATGAATGAAACTTGCCAATGCTTTTCATGCACGGTTAAGATATAAATGAGCGTGTTGGCGTTCATTTGGTTATCGGCAGTCCGTATGATTTTAGCTCTTGAACTGAGAATGCACATGCAGTTAAACATGAATAGGAATGTTTATGGCTTAATATTGTCCAAGGGTATGGTTTCCACATTTTAGGATTAAATGTTAAAGCATATTTCCATTGTGGTATACTTCTTTTGAATATATAACAATTTCTAACAAAGCTCATGTTTGAAAATAGACATGTCGAAATACATATTTATAAGATGTAAACAAATTTAAATTACTGAAATTTGTGATAACATGGAGTAAGTTTAACACGGTACAATTAGTAGTCAGTAGCTAACGTTTTATTTAGGATTTTACTGCAAGTTAAATGCATATATTTGTTTTACATTCAACATGTAACCCAGTTTCTCCATTGAAAAATCAGAAAACACTGGGGCAAGAAAATGCCATGGAATGTGCAATGGCCTACACAAAGCGTAATCCACAACACAGCCCCGAACAGGCACACAAAAAAAACCACACGGAGCTAATGTGGACGGGCTTTTCGCTTAGCTATATAAAGGACACCATTCAATCAATGCGCGTCTCCGTCCAATCACACCGGGCGGCAGGCGGAGCTCGCGATGTGCAAGCCACGTGCCATTGGCTTGTGAGCCCCGGCTTGGTTTGATGATGGGTTGTACTGGGAGTAAAGCAGAGAGAACAGAGGGGGGGGGGGGGGACACAGCGAAGAGAGGCAGTGTGGTTGGTGGTGGTGGTGGTTAGTAGTGCTGCCCATGGTGGATTGCAAATACTACCTCGGTCAAGTTTGCTGAGCCAAGGGCCCGCACGCCCGCACGCCCGCCTTTATATCCCTTGAACACTGGGGGGAGTTTGGGTTTGGAAGAACGACGAAGAGGGGGTAGCAGGCGACTGTGGTGGTGGTGGTGGGGAGGAGGAGGAGGAGTGGAGGATAAAGGGGGAGTGAAATAAGAGAGAGAGAGAAAAAAAGCCACCCGAGCTGACACTCGGCGCGGCGCAGCGTGGGCGCACAGAGCACGCGAGAGCGGTGAACGACGGAGGCGGGCCACGAAGACGGACAGCGCGCATCCACGTCCCGTAGCGTTTCAAGTCGGCGCTGTGTTCCTACGCCGGGGTGGGGGGGGGGCTTTTTAGCTATCGACTGGCGGGCGGAGAAGCTTCTTTGTGCTCCTACCAAAGACAGGTTTCTTCACATCACCAGCTGTATACAGTGCAATCGGGAGAGGAGGGGGGGTGGGAGAGACTGTGTGCGTGTATCTGTCGGATAACCTACAACAGCGCACGGCAGCCGTAGCCCCAAAGAGACGAGCGGGGGAACCCTTTTACTCTTAATTTGCTACGAAGCTCTCGCAAAGCAAGCGGCAAGCGAGCCCCCGTCCACCACTCCGACTGCGCGGGCACAACAGGGGCGGATCTCGCGCCACTTCAATTCGCCCAGGTCGCGGTTTTAAAAAAAAAATCATTGCGGGGTTCCAAATGATGGACGAGCAAGGTCGACTCTTGCAGAGCCACATCGGCGTAGGCATGGGCGCCTTGTCGGGCGCCGTGGGCATGGGTCACCCGCACATGGGGCCTCCGGATGGGGTGGACGGTGGAGGAGGCGGAGGCGGCAAACAGGACATCGGCGACATCCTGCAACAGATCATGACCATCACGGACCAGAGCTTAGACGAAGCCCAAGCCAGGTGAGATGCTCTAGTTTGCAATAAGAGCTGTAACAGTTGTTGAGTGGTTAACCGCGCGCACACACACACACATATGTATGTATGTGGTATTAGCGTTTGAGAGAGTGTGTGTGTGTGTACATGCGCGCGTGTGGTTAAATGTTGAGTCGGTCTTAAGTGTCTCTCAACTCCGTTGGCAACCCTGAGCCAGCGGGTGGAAATTTCACGTTCCCTTGTTGTGTCTTCCATGGGTCAACCACCGTTGGCTTTCCACAAGGTGGTGCTCGATTTATCAACCCCGGAGCGATGATGATGGGCTGAGTCGACCCGCGCGACCGAGGTTTGAACTCCCAGCCTTCCTTCCGATCGAGTGGCGCACTCAGAACCCACCAACTCTACCTGCACGTGTAGTCTCATTGTCCAGTTTTTTTTTTCTATCGAAAGTGGTAGTCATGTGGATAGACTGGGACCCGTCATGGGAATGTGGAATTTACGCAAACTGGATGAGGCCCGCCACCTGATGAGACCCGTTTTGTTGCTAGTTTTGGAAAAACGCGGATTTAAACACAGCACGCGTGCTTCTGTAGAGAGCTACTTTAAGTAAATTAGTCTGAGGAGTGTGTGTTTAAAGTATAATAAGCGGCGGGCACTCCCGTGCAAGGAAGTCTTGAGACTCAATGAGGTTTTACTCGGTAAACTATTACTCTCATAATGTATGTATATAAATACACACATAATGTGTGTGTGTATATAAATACACAGTGTGTGTGTGTGTATATATACACACACACACATTGTGTGTATATATGTACGTATGTAAAGCGTATCTGGTGACGAAACTAATACCGTCCCCGTGTTTAAATTGTGTAAATTGTTTGGGTGCGCGTTGTGACGACTTCGCGTGCAACACGCGTGGAGCCGGCCCAGTGTCTTCTTGCCACGCGGGGGGAGCGGTGGCGCTGCGGTTAGCGCGCTACGCTGCGCTACGAACCCGGAGTCCCGAGGTCGATTCCCGCTCACGGCCAATCCCCAGGTGACGATTATCTGAAACCGGTTCCTGAGCCAACTCCGCGTTAAAAGAGTGACCCGTTGCGGTGTGCAGTGAACATCGCCACCGGGGAGACAAAGGCGGTCGGGCGTGGTGCAGGCCACGGCACCCCCTCGTGCGCCACAGTGCCAGTGGCCTTCATAGGTGCTGCTGCTCGCTCACGGCACTTGCCCCAACAGTCTGTTAAGGCTACACGGGGAGATAGATCTTTGTCTTGCCGTGCACCATATGTGTATACAATAACCCAATGTGTTATTGTATAACATCAATTGCTTAGGTGAAAATAAATGTCTCGTATTTTATTGAACGCTTATATAGCGCACGTTACAGTGTCAGTATTTGAATATAAAATAAAATCAATTTATTTTGCACTATTTACATCATCAGCTGCAGTCGCACACGATAATACGCCCAGCCGGGTTATTGCGCCATATATTGTGCTGATACAATGCATAATATTGTATCGCTGACGCTCATTGACCAAGTGTGGTGAAGTATGGTCAAACAACCCCACGTGACCCCACACGCCGTGGGGGAAGCCTTAATCTAGCAGCGGCTTTCACAAACAGCTGCAAATATTATTGTTGTTATCATTATTATCCGTAGCAGTGTAATTGCAGCGCATGAATACGAACGCTAGCCATTCCTGCCTATTCTAAATAAGATAAAACATTGCCCAAGCATTCTCCTATAATGTACACAAAAAGGCAAAGATCACCCGTGTAGCCTTAATAGACTTGGGGCAAGTGCTGTTAGCGAGCACCCTAGGAAGGCCGGCATGGCACACGAGAGGAGGTGGGTGGACCAAGCACCGCGCCCGGCCACCTTTGTCTCCCCAGTGACGATATTGACACATCGCACCGGGCAGTAATTCGAGGCCGAGTCGACCTAGAGGGGAAGCCCATAGCCACGCCACGCTGTACAACATACCGAGGTGTCTCGTCTCTACCTGCTACTTGCACATTGAACGTGTGTGTTGGTGTATTTGTGTGTGCGTGCTCGTAGCGATGCTCGCTACGAGCACGTGCTCCTTACGGTCTACTAAGGGGGGGGGGGGGGGGGGTTCTGTTGTCTTCGTGGCACACGACAAGAGTTGAACGAGCAATGTACGGGGGACAACATTCGTAAAAATGGCTATGCTCTCTGCACGTTGTGTATATATATACACAAAGACAGAGATCCCCCGTATAGCCTTAACAGACTGTAGGGGGCAAGTGCTGTTAGCGAGCACCTATGAAGGCCGGAAAGGTACACGAGGGGGTGGGTGGCCAGCACCACGCCCGACCGCCTTTGTCTCCCTAGTGGCGATGTTTACTCACCGCACCAAGTACTCATTTGAGGCTGAGTCGACCTAGGGGAAGCCCGGGACCGCTTCAGATACTCGTCACTGATGTTGGACGTGAGCGGCAACCGAACCCGGGCCGGGTCGCCGGGTTCGGTTGCGCGCTAACCGCTACACCACCGCTCCCCACTCTATATACACACGCACAGGCGGAGCCCGTGAAGAGTTCGGCCGTGCTAAGTTCATGGAAACTCGGGGGGGGCTCACCTCTGGTGGTGCAGCAGCAGCAAGAGACTTGGGGGAGGGGGGCTGATGATGAGCGCGAGACGTCGTCCTCGTCTAGAGAGGTCTCCGTCAACTTCGCACAGAAGTTGTGCAAAGTCGTCGTTTTGCTCACGATGTTTGAGGGGATGTTGGATTTGGCTGTACATTGTGCGAGTTGCTTGTGCATAGCGTACGTGTGTGTGTGCGTATATATATACACACAATTATGTGTTTTAGTTTCTACACCTGGAAGTGTAACAATGCACATGCGTGTTTGTATATACAGTACACACATTTCCGCGTAGTGTATATACTATGCACATAGTTGTATTTGTGTGCATATACAGGCCACAGCGTAACGTATGGTTTGTGTTATCGGCTTATTGTGTGTGTGTATGGTGAGTGGGGGGTAATTCCACGGTAACGCAATTACACAATATTAACAACGCAATTACACAATATTAACAATGGAATTACACAACATTAACAATGGAATTACACAATATTAACAATGGAATTACACAACATTAATAACGCAATTACACAATATTAACAATGGAATTACACAACATTAACAATGGAATTACACAACATTAACAATGCAGGCGCAAACAATAGCCACGGCACAGACTTCCATTGTCGTGACATTCAACAAAACGACGCGAGCCTAAATTTATAATTTCTGTGAACTTCCGTGATTTGGTAAAGGGACTGCCCCCGTGCTGTGATTCCGTACACCCTGGAGCTCCGTCTCAACGTATACACACACACCACGCAGCTATACAGTACTCCTATACCAGATCTAGTAATGTGTTTTGTAAATGCACGAATGTGTTTACGCGTGCCCGATGCGTTTCTGCAGATAATATCGCACGGGATATTCTGATCCGTGTACTCGTGACGTTTTGTTAATGCAGCGTATTGCAATGCAATGATGATACGATTCGACACATACCTATAAGGTTGTGAGTGAATGCTTGCAATGGCCCAGTGAATCACTGCTACGTTACAATATTGACTTGGCGTTCATTGCTACGAGTTGCTAACCCAGTCGTCGTCCACACAGTCCTTGCTTCTTAGTAGAATGACAAAATCGGTATCCCAAACCCAAATTGTTGTGTGCTCGTGCATACGCTCATAAACAAAGCCCATATGGCGGCTGTTGGCAGCGTACCGTGCGAAAGAAGTTTAACACACGCAGGGCAGACAACATTGGTTCATCGTGGCAATTGAACTTCGCCTGCCCAAGTACGTGTACGGTAGCGTATGACGAGCGCGCCGATCGATATACATCTGTGTGCACAACACTCGCCTGCGTACCGGGCGTGCGTAATTTAGTGCGATAGGACTTCACGCACCGCACGTTGATCTAAGCGGAGTTAGTCACCAAGTGGATAAGGCTCGACCCGCGGTTGGGTGAGTTCGTAGTAGCGTGCACGTAAAGTAAACTGGGGGGGGGGGGGGGGGGGGGTATGGCATCGTTTACGCGAACTCGTGATAAGTTTCGATTGCGTAATTGACTCATTAAGTTCCGCGAGAGATTAATAATTCACAAACGCCACGAAAACTAGGCACAAGTAAATGGCGAGGCACGCGCTCACACGCACACACACAGCATGGTGATCATTTAAATTCTACTAAAACACCCAATACTAATCTCTCGCGCGCCTACGTGAAATGGAGTGGAGTAGTGGCGCAGTGGTTAGCGCGCTCCGCTATGAACCCCATCAACCTGAGTTCGAGTCTCAGCCCTAGCAAACATCAGTGACGAGGGATATCTGAACGCGCGTACCCCCTTCACAGATCCGCATTGACCAGTGTGGTGAAGTATGGTAAAAAAACCCGTGGCAAGACTAATACGGTGCTAGGGGAGGCATTCATCCGGTAATGGATTAACAAAGCGCTGCATAGTGATTGCACAGTCGTATCTATGCACGTGTGCAACACTTCTTAAAGCAAGTGCAGTTATAATGCTTACAATGTCTTGCGGCCTTCAATTAAATTTGTAAAGATATAGTTTAAAAGAAGACTTGACCGCACATATTTCTCGGAGGCGATCTCCGCGTGACAATGTTACGGTCACGTTAGAGCGATGCATCCATAATAATCGCAACATTTAGGCGAAGTCGAAGCCGCGTCCTCTTACCGAAATTAAGGCCAGATGATATGGCATGTTGTGTCCAGGCTCACAAGGGTCAAGCGCGTTACATTGGCGGTGATGTGGCCGCTCGTTGCGGTTCAAGGACGAACGGCCGTCCTGGTTAATACTGCGGTTTATATTCCTGGTTAACGCTGCGGTTCGTACTAAATATCCCGTGACGTTATTTGAAAGAATAAAAAACTCGGATCCGAATATCAGAATCCGAATATTTATTTATACCGGAGGAATCCGATGAGCCATAAAGCTCTTTTTCACAGATGTCCAGTCGGGTCGCAGGCTCGGTTGGGCACGCGTGCGGGCGACGGTCGTCGTCGAAAAAGTGTCCGAATGTTGAGAATTACTCGCAAATTACCCGATTGGGTGAAGCCACGTGAAGCGACATCGCCCCACGCCGACTGCGCAACTATTGCAGACCACGTCCCGCGAAACGCAGCGCCTTCGTGAATGTGTCGCGCTGTTAGAATGGCGCGAATACTACATGGCCCTCGGATTTAAATTTGGTGATGCATTACATCGTTGTTCAAAAGGATTTTGAAAAAAAAGTATAATGGGCGACATTTCGGGCAATGGTTCTTTTTTTTTTTA